GAAGTTATTAGCGGGCACTGGGCCTGGGGGCACTCAAGCCCGGCAGAGCGACTGCAAACTGGGTATAGTGGGGATGAGATGCACAAGCCGGCACAGGTGAATGGACTCCAGCCGGCTCTGCAGCCGGACCCAAGGCTGCCCCAGCAGGGCTCAGAGGCCCTCTGAAATCAATTAAAAAAGCAAAACAAAACATGGAGAAGCGGGGAGACCTGGCCCTCAGGAGAGAAGACACAGCAAACCCAGAGCGAGGGTTATTGCTCAGGAGGGGTCTTTGCCAGGAAAGACTGACCTCCACAGAGGGCCTTCTGGTTACCCCTGAGTCTATCAGTTGATGCCTTTGTCTCCCCATTAAGCTTCTGTAGTCCCAGTTGGGGTTCCCCAGCCTGGGAGCAGTGGTGAGAGGGGTCCCTATAGAGGAGTGACTCGATACATCCAACCAGATTCTGGGACAGAAACCCCTGCCAAGCCAGGGACAAACTCTAAGGACTGGGATAGTCATTCCTATTTTATCTGGTGTCATCCTAGGTGTCATTCGCTCTTCTCTTCTCTCTCCCGGCTCACCTACCCAGGGCTCACACCAGGGTGAGCACCTCCACTGCGCTCTGTGGTAGGAATAAGGCAGTTCTGGGACGGCGGCTCCACCAGCGGAGCCCAACAAGGCAAGGCTTTTGTTCGCTTATCACAATCCCGGGTAGCTGGTGGGTTCACAGCCCAGAGACAAGCCCCACCACTCCTGTGGAGCTCTGCACTCTGAAGGAACTCTCTGCTATGGGCTTCTTCTAGTTTTTTCCTATCAGTGCCATGAAGAAGTAGGCCGGCCCCTCCTGGACTGTCCATTCTGTCACCTTCTCTGTAAACCTCTGCACCTCCAATCATCTGCAGTGATCTGGGTCTACCGGTCTATTCCCTGGGGCAAGCAGAGCCTGTGGTTGGGGTGCCCCAATCAGAGCTTGGGAGATCTGAGGCATGTGGGCCAAAGACTCCTTGACAAAGACAGGAAGACACTTTGATCACAGTGGGGGGCGAGGGAGGGTGTAAGGAACCTCACGGTGTGATAGTGACCTCGCCACCCAACGGAAGTAGACAAACACAGAGTCTTCTTGGTGCTCCCTTCAATGACCACCCCTTCCCCCCATACCCACAGATACTCACAGTGCTCTGGTGGCAGCCTGAGCAACACAGCCCAGTGGGTCAGAGAGCATAGCCAGGCCACAGCAGAAAGCTGAGATGCGTCAGGACCTTGTTAATTGGTTATTAATGGTGGGGGGCAGAGGAGGGTCAGGAGAGATCCTCCTAGCTGGAGGCTTTAGCCCTCTGAACCTCTTGGTGGTTTCACTTAATATGAAATTAAAGAGGGTCCCAGGAGGATGCAGGAACTGGCTAGCTCTTGTACCAGGCCAGTCACCAGACACTACAACTTTCACTCATGTATCATCTGTGTTGCATTTGTCATCTTTTGCTCTCAGTATCTAGTGTGTGTCTGTGGGGAGTGTGGGGCTCTCCTAAACGGCCCTGGCCTTCCTCCCCTGCCATCTCTCCTGCCTACCTTCTCTGCTATGCTAACTGGGCTCTGGTAATGGGGTTGGACAATGGGGTTAGGGGCAATCCCCAGATGTGCGTTTGGGGGAGGAGAGGGAAGGAGAGACTAGTAATGGGAGGAGGCTGCTGACAGCAGAGCCCGACTAAGGTCTCCCCAGCAGCCAGCGACTTGTCCAGCCTATTGTGGGGCCACAGGAGGGGACTTTTCCCAGCGAAGCCTCTGGAACCTGAGCTGGGGAGAAACCGGATACTCTGGTCCTCGGAGGGGGTAGGAGGAGGGTGAGTGATTAATGAGGAAGATTAAAAGATTAAACCTGGGTTCTAGGCTTGGGGGGCACTCAGTTGACTCGACTTCCCCCACTCCAGTTTGGGGGGGCTGACAGGTCCCAGTGCTCCCTGATGTGAGCCTCTTCCTCCCCCCTCCCATGATCCAACCCTCCCTGCCTTGGGTCCTTCCTAGAGCCATCCACAGACATAATCATTCACCACTGCCCACCCCCAACCCCTACCAGGACGACAGTTTTCCTCTCCCAGCATTCTCAAGCATTCCCTCACGTCTCACTCAGATTCCCCTCATTGTTCAGAAACTTCAGGGTCTTCCACTCCCTCCCCTCATAGAGATCTCCACATGCCTACGTTCACTCCCTCAGGAAGGTGCCTCAATTCTCTCTTAAAATAATATGTAGCCCTAGCAGGTTTGGCTCAGTGGATAGAGCTTCGGCCTGCGGACTGGGGGTCCTGGGTTCAATTCCGGCCAGGGCACATGCCCGGGTTGTGGGCTCGATCCCCATTAGGGGGCATGCAGGAGGCAGCCAATCAATGATTCTCTCATCACTGATGTTTCTCTCTCTCCCTCTCCCTTCCTCTCAAGAATCAATAAAAATATTATACAGAGAGGAAGGGAGGGGGATAGAGAATAAGAAATATTGGTAAGAGAGAAACATCAATCAGCTGCCCCCTGCACACCTCCCACTGGGGATGTGCTTGCAACCAAGGTACATGCCCCTGACTGGAATCGAACCCGGGACCCTTCAGTCTGCAGGATGAAGCTCTATCCACTGAGCCAAACCGGTCAGGGCAATAAATATATTTTTAAATAAAAAATGTTTTTATTGATTTAGAGAGAGAGGAAGGGAGAATAATAGAGAGATAGAAACATTGATCTGCTGCTTCCTACATACCCCCCACTGGGGATCAAGCACGCAACCAGGCATGTGCCCTAACCTGACGAGAATTGAACCTGTGACCTCTTGACTCATGGGTTGACACTCAACCACTGAGTCACACCGGCTGGGCTAAATTCCCTCTTTTTAAAAACATTTTTTATTTATTTCAGAGAGGGAGAGGGAGAGAGAAACATCAATGATGAGGGAGAATCATTGATAGCTGCCTCCTGCACGCCCCCTACTGGGGATCAAGCCCATAACCTGGGCATGTGCCCTTGGTGGAAATCAAACCCGGGACCCTTCAGCCTGCAGGCTAACGGACCCAAACCAGGTAGGGCTCAATTCCCACTTAATACTTTCTCTCACCTCCCATCAGGCCCTTTCAGACTTCCATTTCCTCGTCTCTGCACCTTATCTCCAGCCTTATTCCCCTTCCTCATCACCCCCACCTTTTCTCTCATTCCCAGACACCGCGCCTCTCCCTCACCCAGCCATCCGCAGCCTCCCATCTGGTGAGTCCCTTCAACCTCACCCAGGCCTGCCCCAGATTGGCCCCTCTTCTTGGTACAGAAATCTGCTCAATAAACTACCTTTAGTCTTCAGATGTTGCACCGTAGGCAATCCTCTGAATTTTGTGCGTGTGTGGGGGGAGGTAGTGGGGGAATCCTCAGAATAACTCCCCTGGGGCGGTGCAAAGGACAGTCTGGGAGATACGCCCCCCCCCCTTTGCCCCAGTACCTTTAGCCAGCATGAGAGGTAAGTGGGAGTTCATGGGGGAAACTCCAAGCAGAGGAGCTTGGTGCGGGCATCCATCCATCTCGCACACTTCTGGGATTTTCTCTTGCCGAGAACATTACTGCAGAGTGAATGGATTTGGATCCTGAAGTTTCAGTTTCGTTATTTTTAGGACTCGGGTTTGTAAGTTCTTTTACACTGGTTCACACAGAGCTCTGCGTAACCGCCGCCAGCCCCGCTGCCAGCCCGGGGTGTGCGGGCCGGGGTGGGGAGCTGCGGAATACTCTGACGCCTCCCGCCTCTGCACACACTTACACCCTGGGACCCTGAGTCCCTTGTCCAAGTCAGTCCCTTGTCCCTATATCCTCTCCCAGCCTTCCCCCCTCCCCCCAAGTCTTGGGAGAAACAGGCCAGGCTGAGAGGGACGGGTCCCCCCATCTCTGTGCCAAAGGCTGGGCCGAATCGCAGGGTCCCTTCTCCCAGGCGGAAGCGGCTGGGCGAGATAGGGCGGCGGCAGAGGCACCGGAGGGCGAGGACTGACATGGACGCCGGGAGCGGGCCGGTGCGCGCGGGTTGTCAGAGCCCAAGAGAACCGCGGGCGGGATCCATCCGCCCTGGCCCCTGGCGCAGATCCAGAACCAAGTGACCCAGGGGATAGGCATAGGGTCTGCTGCGTGGAGCAGGCCAGAGAGCAGGGGAAGGAGCCCATAGATGAGGGAGAGAGATGCGGAGCCCGCAGCTGGCCTGCGTCAGCAACCTGGGGAAGTTGGCCGCTGCACAGCCGCGGACAGACAGAAATCAGGCTGCCTGGAGCTAGGGGTGAGGCAGGGCAGCTGCTCCCCCAGATCCGGCCGGAATGCCCCTGGTTGCTCCTGGGCCCCAAGCCAGGTGTCATCAAAGGCCTCCCCCCCAGGATGGATGGGCGCGGGCATCCATCCATCTCGCACACTTCCGGGATTTTCTCTTGCCGAGAATATTACTGCCCTCAGGCAGCCTCCTCTTTTAGCTGGCCATTCTTTTTGTTTATTTTTGTTAATCGTCACCTGAGGATATTTTTTCCATTGTTTTTCAGAGTGGAAGGGAGGGACGGGGAAGAGAACACCCGTGACTGGTTGCTTCCCCCATGCACCAACACGGGAGGCAGAACAGGAATGAACCTGCAACCCAGGGACATGCCCTTGGCAGGGAATCGAACCATGACCCTCTGGTGCACCAGTGGCCACTCCCCATCCCAAGCCCCAATCAGACACTCCCCAATTCCTGCAGCTGCTTGAGCCGCCCAGGTCCCCAGGGTGTCTATCTTTCCCCCTAGCCCACACCTCTCCCTCCAGTCACTCCTCAGAACCACCCTTTCACACACACACACACACACACACACACACAGACACACACACTGCAAGTTTCTGGCTACCCCAGTTAGAGACCCACAGGAGTGCTGCCTGGGTTTATTTCCAGAGCGCAGTGCTCATGGCCAGGCTGGCACAGACCAGGAAGCTGCTGACTTACTCAGTGGAGTGCTAGCCTTGCTGCTTCCCTCTCGTTCCTTGGAGCTGCCTTTGCCCTCCCGGGCACCAGCTCCCTCTCCCCTCAATTCCTCTCTCTACAAGCTGGCCTCCCCTCGCCCAGGTACCTGAAGGCCTGCTGAAGCTTGTCTAGACAGCCATGTCTCCAACTCCATCCCTGTGTGTCCCATGCCCCCATTTTTTTTAGCCTCCTCCAATTATGCACATCTTTGGATTTTTCTTTATAATATCACTCTTCTCCAGTCCTGCAGTGACCACTGTCCAACCCGAGCCCTACTCTCACCACTCTTGCATTAGGACACTCAGGCCTTTGCCACATGTTGCAACATTCAAGGACAGAGAGAGCTCCCCTCCAGAAAAACTTCCCTTCACCAAAACAACTGGTGTGGGGGCCTGACTTCACTCAGCTCACCTGGGTTTTACGTAAGTAGGGTCCTCTACCCCTCTCCTGTGGTCATTTGCTGAGGGTCATCCTTCTTGATGACACTCAGAGGATTTCTGAGGGAAGCAGGACACAGGACAAAGTATGAGTGTGTAGTAGGGATAAGAAGGAGGAAGAGAGGTGCTTTTTAAAAGTTTTTATTTCAAAAAATAAAGCCACAATTTCACATAAATATCTGGGGAGGGATGGGAAGAGGGGTGGGGCAGGAGCTTGGCCCCTACCTCCTCTTCTCTTTCACACTGTACTGTAAAAGCAAAGGGGCTGGCTAAGGGGAGAACAAGGGGAAGAAGTCGTCAGGGAAGAGTTCCTGCGAAAAAGGCCCCCCCAGCCCACCCCTGCCCTGGAACTGCCTTGGACCTGGCTCACCTTGCCGAACCATCGGGAGAGCCAGATCTGTTTCATGGTCATGTGATCAGGGAGGACTTCATTGTCAAAAAGGAGCTGCACCTATCAGGGAGGTGGGAGCACTGTGTTAGGAACTCTCCTTCCTCACCATCAAGAACTCACCCGGTCCCCTCTAAACTCTCCCTCCCCCTGCGGCCCCTTCTCCTCCCAAAGAAACCGACTGTGGGACACTCACATGCTGGGGATTTAGCATCAAGCGGTGACAGAGGACCCTCCGGAGGTGACGGACCTCAGCTCTAACAGAACACCTGACATATTTGTTCTGAGGGTGGGCAGGGAAGGGAAGACAAGGTGTGTGAGAGAAGGGCCCCGCGGAGGTGAGTCTCCTGAGAGGCCCTCCCACAGCCCCTCTCACCTGCAAGACGCTTTTATTCTTGTCTTTGCCAGAACTGGGGGAAACAGACACAAGTTAGGGAGCACTATCCTCCCCTCCCCCGCATCCCCACCCAGAGCCATGACATTATCTCTTCAAGGGAACAGACACTCGCTTAGCTTACTGCGAGCCCTCTCCCTGAGCCCCTCCCTGACTCTGGGTCATTGACACTCTCACTTCAGACAGCCCAGGGACTGCCTCTCACCTCAGCCGCTCCAGGCACAGGCTCAGCTGCTCATCATAGCGATAGTAGTGGGCTTTTGAATGGTCAAAGCTGCAGAAGGGGAGGCCGAGGTTGCTCAGGGCTGGCTCTGAGAAAGACAGAGTAGTGAGGCGGGCAGCACAGATTCTACACTCCTCTTCCCCCAGAGAGCAAAACCGGGCAGGAGGAATGCTCTGGGGGCTTTGCCTTACCCTCCTGCTGCCAAGGGACATACCTTCCCCTCCTGGCTGCGTGACTCGGTCCAAGCCTCGGGACTGGTAGAATTCTCGAATCCGTTTTTCTTCACCTGGTAGGGAGTGGAGTATGGGAGTCAAGTCTTAACTGTCCCTCTGGCTGTCAACCTCTTTACCTACGCAATGCCCACCAAAGCCCTCATCACTACAAGCTGCTACCCAGCATCCGCCCTCTAGAAGCCCCTCAGAGTCAGGTTGGTCACTCACTGTCTTGCAAGCCAGGCACCAGCTTGTACACGATGTCCTGCATGACCCGGTCCAGTTTGAGGTTGAGCAGTGGCTGTGTCTCGTGGATCTTGATGTTGCACATGGGGCAGTACTTGCTGGTTTGGAGGTACTTCACAATACAGCTCTTGCAGACTGGAGGAAAAGGAAAACAGACTCTCAGGCCCTCGGGGAGTCAGGTTCTCGGGCTGGACGGGGTGCCTGGGTGGTTGGGGCAGGCAGTGCAGAGGCTACCAGCCAGCTGGGTGGGAACCAGGGCCTGGAAGAACCAGCCAGGGTCCAGGGAACTCACAAGTATGGAGACACTCTGTGATGGTGGTGGCATCCACGAAGTAGCCAGCGCACAGGCAGCAGACGATGTGTTCATTCAAGTCTTTGATCTTTACTCGGACCTCCTCCTGCGGACACACCCTCCGTCACCGATCACCCTTTCCAATCCCAACCTCGGTGCCTTCCCAGCCTGGGAGTCCCCTCTTTCATCACATCTCACAGCCAAACCCCGCACCTTGCATGGTCAGCAAGGGCTTAGCTTCCGGGGGCTGACACTACCCCTCGCCCAGCAGAGGTCTCCGCGCATAGCGGGGGCTCCCTTCACGTGGACTGGCCCGACCTTCCTTTCCCAGGGGAGACCATACGACGACGGCGGCACAACACGCAGGCGTCTTACACCAGAGTTTGGCAACTCGGACCACAATCGCGCAGGCGCACTGTGCCCCCCGCCTCTGCGCAGGCGCACTGGGCGCCCGGCCGTCCCGGCCTGTCCTCTAGTCGGCCCCAGTCAGCCCCGCTAGCAGACCACAGCAGTAACCCTGCCGCCCCTGCACCTCGTTCCGTAGCGGGTCCATCTTGTACACTGACTGGAGCTGGTTCCGAAGCCTCATCGCGATCGCAATCTGGCCCCCCTGAGGAGACGCCATCTTAAAGGCTGATCCTGGCCTGCCACTTCCGGTGCCGCCTGCAGGGCGGGACTTGTCGCCGAGCAACGAGGGCTTAGGTCTTTCCGGATTCGCTGACTCTCCGTAAGGCCCCGCCCACGCCCTTTCTCCCCCGTGTGCTCACCTGAGCCCCAGTGGCCCCTCCCCCTCCGCAGTTGGTAATTGGGGAGTGGGGGCGTGTGGGGAGGGGCCGATCTCATTGACCCCCTGCAGTAATAATCATCGAAGACCCGACCGGACCTCGGGACGAACTTTTGGGGCCTGCAAAAGCCTGCCTCCTCCTTCCCCCGAAGGCCGGGCGTCTCCGCCCGCCACCGCTCAGGGTCGCCCAGCTCTGGTGACAACCACGCTAAAGCCCCTCCCGCGCTCTCCGTGTTCTGTCGCCCTCGTCGGCCGACGCTAGACAATGCGGAGCTACATCCGACGGTGGGCCTTTTCCCGGCTCCAGGGCGGGAGTTTCTCAGGGTTTCGCGGAGGCTCGGGGAGGACGACGGGAGGAGGAACCCCTAGAGACTTGTGTCCTCCCCTGCCGCCGGGAGGAGGGGGGCAGGCCCTCGTTAATGATGATGATTCAATCACCGGCGCCTGCGGAGGCCTGGGACAGACTAATGCAGAGCAGATGCCGAAGGAGGAGGGGAGGACGACTAGGACACGGCCGCACGCCGACGCGCCCCGGCGGCGGGTCCCTGCAGGAGCAGAAGCTCAGCTCCGTGTTTGGGGGAGACGCAGGGGTCCCGAAAGCTTGTGCGCCGCTGTCCCCAGGTGCCTCCAGTAGCACCAAAACCCAGTGTCAGTTTACTGTGAAGTATTAGCACCAAGTGCAGTTGGAGATGAAAGAAGGGGAGATCCCAGTGCAGACCTCGGAAGGATTGCTGAAGGAGGTGGGGCTTGGTATGGGCACAGTTTAGAGCTGGGGTGCGGAAGAAGTGTGGTGGGAATAGAAGAGGGAAGGCTGCGCGGAGGGGAGGGGCCGAGAGGGACAGGGAGGAGGCCAAGGGGTGCATTTGAGAGCAGCGGTAGAGGCAGCAGGACTGGACGGAGCTGGGACTTTGAGGCTGTGGGCCATGGAGAACCAGCTGACTCTTTTGCAGAGGGGGGTGACCCTATGAGAGAAACATTTGTGTGCATTGATGTTCAGAGTGAACTGGAGTGGATAAGCGACAAGAAGTTTTGGGAGTGGTGATGCTTTAATCACCTACTCACTATAGCCATGGCTTACCTCGTTGGTCCAAGATGCCATCATCTGTCCTCTGGATGAGTACTGGTTTTTTTGACCGCTTTTCTTGCCTCCACCGTTGCCCCTCTTTCAGCAATTTTCAATACAGCAGCTCGGGGTAATTCTGGTAAAATATGAATAAAAAAGGATATAAGGAAAAGAAATTGAGTTGATGGGTATGTTTATTATCTTGTTTGTGTTGGTGGTTTCATGGGTGTATGCATACGTCAAAACTTATCACATTGTACACTTTATTTTTTTCACATTGTACCCTTTAAATATGTGCAGTGTATTGTATGTCAGGTTTACCTTAAGAAAGCTGTTAAAAGTAAAATTTAAAAATGGGTGCCTTACTTTTTTGTTTATAAACTTCCAATAGCTTCCCTTTATTAAAAAAATATATTTTCACTTGGGACCTGGGCATGCACCTTTGACCAGAATCCAACCAGGGGCCCTTCAGTCCGCAGGCCAACGTTCTAGCCACTGAGCCAAACCACTGGGGCAGCTTCCCTTTTTAATGAAAATAAAAGGCACAATCCTTACAGTGGCCTGCAAGGCTCTGCATGGTCTCGCAGTCACTCAGTCTCTCTGGCCACACTGATCCCTCACTGCTCCACAGACACACAGAATGTACTCCCACACTGTCACCAACTGGAAATGTTCAGATGCACAAATGGTACCTTTCTTCCTTCAGGTCTTCACTCCACAACGCCTTTATTATTATTATTATTATTATTATCATTTTTATTGATTTCAGAGAGGAAGGGAGGAGAGAAACATCAATGATGAGAGAGAGAATCATTGATCAGCTGCCTCCTGCAGGTCCCCTACTGGGAGCAGAGCCCCCCAATGCAACCTGGGCATGAGCCCTGACCTCCTGGTTCATAAGTTGATGTTCAACCACTGAGCCACACCAGCCTGGCACTCAACAAGGCCTTTTTTGATTATTCTAGATAAATCACAGCTCCCTACCCTTTTACTTCTTCTCGCCCTTCCTTGCTTTATTTTTTTCTTTTTAGCGATTATTATTATTTAATGTATTGTATATTTTTCTTGTTTTACACCTGCCTCTCCCACTAAAATAGAAGCTTGTCAGTGGCATAGACTGTTTTCCCCTGTTGTATTTATACATCTATATCTCCAGTGCCAGGTACAGAGGACTAACAGTGCCATGTTCAATGAAAAATTTCTGGATGGCCCTAGCTGGTTTGGCCCAGGGGATAGAGTGTTGGCCTGCAGACCAAAGGGGCCTGAGTTCGATTCCAGTCAGGGTTTGATTCCAGTCAAGGGCATGTACCATGGCTGCAGGCTCCTTCCTAGCCTGGGTTCTGGTCAGGGCTCTCGCAGGAGGCAACCAATCGATGTTTCTCTCTGTCTTTCCCTCTCTCTAAAAATCAATGGATAATATCCTTGGATGAGGATTAAAAACATTTCTTTTCTGGATGAACAAATGAATGAATGTAGGTAGTCCTGATGATGGCCTAGATTAGGCTTTTATCAGTGGGAATGGAAAGGAAGGGCTGTTTATGAATTTCAAAGGAAAGCACAATAGGAGGGAGTAAGGAGCTTGGGCGGATAGCCTGTCTTCCAACCTGGTGGACTTAAGGTGGCTGCAGCAAAGGCAGGTGCAGTTGGCCAGACGGCTGAAATGGTGGGGCTGGAGCACCGGTGTCAGAACCAGGGATGAAGGTCTCAGAGTTTTCTGGGTGGATGTAGTAGATGGAGCTATTGAAATGGATGAAACCTGAGCAGATGGAGACAGAGAGAAAACTGAAGTATGGACTCTAAAGAATGCTCACAGTCGAAAGTGGAAGAAGAAAAGTCAGTGGAGGAAAAAAACATAAGCAGTCACTATGCAAGTCCAAAGATGTGGAATAAGACAGTATTATATAAGGAAACAAAAAAAGGGACATTTCAAGAAATAGTTGGTGATCAATGAAGTAAAACATGTCCGAGATTTCTGGATAATGGACACTGGATACTGACGCTTCCTGAGAAGGTCGGTGTAGTGAAGCCAGCTTGCAGTGGGTTGAAGCCAGCTTGCAGTGGGTTAAAAGAATAAATAACGAGGAAATGGAGGCAGTGGGTGTGGGCACGAAAAGAAAACAATCTTCCATGAAGAGTCAGGCAAAGACTTTGCCTAGATAACAGCGATCTAAGACAGTTGAGGTAGGAAGAACTAAGTTAATGAAAGAAATGATGACACAGGAGTGGGGGGACCATCTCAAGGGAAGGCTACTATACCAATAGCAGGAAGGAAGGGAAGGCACAGAAGCACAGGCTGGGCATGTGGCCTCTTCTTGTGAAGGTACAGGCTTGAAAACTTGAAGAGTTGGGGGCCACATGCATGTAGAATATGGCGAGATGAACCCAAAGTGGTGTGTATGGGAGGTGGAGGTGCTGACCACACAGTCTCCATCTTCAACATAAACTAGCAGGAACCACCCTTCTGAGAGAACCAGGGAATCCGCAAAGTGAAGGCAAGCAGAGGAATTCCTAGGACTGTGGCTGACAGACTGAAAGCCCTTGTTCTTGAAGTGGGGCACTGGAAAAAAAAGTTTTAACTCCGTAGAAGATGTGTATGTACTACTGGTTTATGGCCATTCTCCTCAAAGGATCAGTTAGGCCATCTCTGGGTGGCAGTGCCATCTGTGCTGACCTTAAAAGGCAGGATGTAGAGTAAGGAGGTATACAGGTCTGTACTATGCTGACTTTTTCTTCTTCATTGATTCACTCGCTGATGCATTCCATTGATGCATTTATTCAGTTTGTTTGGAGATACTAGTGCCACACTCTTCTCAGAGGCCCACCCCCTAGAGTGGGAAAGGGACTGGCAAACTCCTAACTTGCAGGTCAGTCCCCCTCAGAGGCTTTATTTATGTATTTTAAATTTTTTTATTTATTGATTTTAGAGGAAGAGAGAAAAGGAGAGTAGGAAGGAGAGAGGAAGGGAAAGAAGAAGGGAGGGAGGGAGGGAGGGAAGGAGGGAGAGAGAGAGAGAGAAGAGAGAGAGGGACCGAACCCACAACCTTGCTGTATCGGAATGAGACTCTAACCAACTGAGCTACCCAACCAGGGCCAAAGGCTTATTTAGTTTGCTGTCTCCTTAGCCTCTCTGTTCACATCTGGGGGGATCAGCCACGCTATTTCAGAAGGTTTTGCCTGAATAGCAGGTTTCACGTGCCCTAGTGGCTCCATCCCTCTATTGTTGAAAAGGTTGCTTGTGCTTTTGTGAAAGGCTAGGGGAGGTGATGATGCCTGTCTTTTTCACCAAGATAAGAACACACCTGCCAAATTTGCAGACCTCCCCCCAGCCTCCTTTCAGAAGAGGTGGTTGACAGGGTGGGGTAAGGGCCGGAAGAATCGGTTGATGGGTGTGAACAAGGTTGGGGAAGGATGTTAGTATTAATGCCCACTGCTCCTTCCCCCAGCCTTCAAACTGAGGCTTCTGAGAACAGAGGGGCTGGTGGCTTTGGTGGGGAGAAAGCCCACTCCCTTTTTCTCTTCTTTATTTTCCTGCCCAGATGCCCAAAACCATTCCTCCATCCCCTAGAGAGAAAGGACCCATCATCCTGCCCCAGGCACCAGTCTGCCAGCCCATCTGCTGGGGAGAAAGAAGGGGCAGCGCCTTTCCCAGAAGATCCCGAAGAAGCAACTGGAAGATTCCGCGCTCCTCGGGAGACCCATCCACTAGGCTTAGAAGGAGAAGGCACGCTGGCTCCCATGGAGCACCAGGCAGCCTGGAACGGGGCACGGGGTGGGCTGGGGTCGAGGAGCTGGGTTGGCACATCGGGGTGGGGCCCTTTGGCCACCACGTGTCCGAGGCAGGTGCGGCGGCAGGGGCGGGTCTACGGCGCAGGGGCCCGCCCGGCCAGGGGTCCCATCCTGGGGAAGGACGCCGAGTTCACGCACTCCCAGCTCCTGGGTCCCGGGCCAGAGGTCATGAGGTCACCAAGCCGCTTTGGTCTTTGCCCACCTCGCTTCTCTGACGCGCTCCAGGCACAGTGTCCTGCGCTTGGGTAGGTGGAGCGTCCATGGGAAATGAGGCGGCGGGTCCTCTGAAGGCTTCAGTGTCTCCCGTGGAGATTTCGTCCTCCCGCCGGGGGGTGGGGTAGGAGGGTGTGAGACGAGACTTCCTAGGCGCGGAGTCCCCGCTGTCGGGGGCACAACAGGCAGCCCCAAACTCACACCGGCCTGAGCTGGCCCGAGTTCAGCCGCGAGTCCGCTTTACACCCAGTTCAGAAAATCGAAATTCTAAGAAACACCAGGGCACCCATTGCTGGCGCTCCCGAAAGGAGCGGGGGGCCTCGGGAAGAGGCCAGG